TTAAGTGTGTCCGGTATTTTGGGGGGGTCTACCTGGTAACCCTACTCACAGAAGAGACCAAAACAACTCTCAAACTCCTTCCACCACATCATGCTGGGATTGATTTCATAGAGGTACACCATCCCAGCCAGCTGAGGGTGTGGTGTGAGCTTGGATTATCGCCAGTGCTGTTGATTCTACCACAGTGTGCTCTGTTTTTAGGGTGAAGTGCTTTGTAGAGGCCAGTGGGTAGTGGCCATGTGCCAGGGTGGTGGCATTTCCTGGGCACAAGAAGCTGGTGCTCAGGGGTCTGTGCGTTTCAGGGCATAATAAGAGGGAGGGAGGGAGCAGTGACAGGGTTTCAGTGACCCTAACACCTGAGCTCCAGCAGGGAGGTGCTGAGATCTGCTACAGCTCCCCACCGTTAGGGCTGGTGGGAAGGAATCTGAGTGGGAGGTGGGTGGGTTCCAGAATGGATGTCTCCCGGGTGAAACTGAACAACGGTTCCATTTGGGTCGGTTCTTGTGCTGTCTGACCCAGTTTTCACAGTCCAAGTCACTGAAATCGGGCTATGTAAAGGGCTGGGATGACACATTTTTCCTACAGTCTTGGGGAAGAGAGACCAAAATAAATGGCTGCAACTTAGGAGCAAAGGGAAGCAAATCAGTGCTATGGTTAACCTTATATTGGGGGAATCCATTGATAAAGTCACCCAATCCTCCCCCCGGTCCTTACAGAGCTGGCACAAAATACAGTGGGGAAGGCTCTGATCAGGAACACTCCCTTAATGTGCTGCAGGACTGGGGGCCCTGAGGGGATGTGGTTGGGCAAAGGGATAATGCCCACAAGTCAGCACCCAGAATTGCTCTGATCACCATTTCCTCTTCATCCCTAAAGGGCCTGATTGCTGCCTTAGCTGGGTCCTGGCCTGCAGCATGTGTGCAGGGTGCGGAGAGTGTCCGAGGGGGCTGTGGCAGACGGGAACTGGACCCAGGCCTGGGGAGCGCCATAAACTGCAGGGTGGGGTCTATTAACCAGATGTTTTCTCTCTGGCCTTGTTTGATCTCCTAATTGGAAACCTTTTGTGTAAGGGCCCCATTTCCTGGACTCTGCAAGGCTGATACCATATATTCTTGCAAATAAGCCTCAGGCACATATCAACTGCACCCATTTAGGATGGGAAATGCTGGTGTAGAAGTGTCTTGCACCAGGGAATGAATGCTGCATAATCAAATCAGGGGTCCCGTTTCTAAGAGTCCTAGCCTATGCGTTGGTCCTCTGCAGACAGGAGAGACTTTCCTCAACCTGGCTGGCTGGGCTGGCCACTCCCAAAACATATGTTCTAACTGACCTGTTAGTCTAGCCTTAGCCTACCCGCATACACTTCTGCTACTGTACCTCAGGCCTTACTTCCAGCAACCCCCACTATTCCAGGCTCCCTCCTGTCAGCTGTGCCAGGCTGAATTTTGTGCTGTGGAGGAATGTCTGCTTGCAGCTAGGCTGAGAGCCACCAAACTTACTGCTATAGTGATTCAAGCCAAAATAGAATCAGACCTGCTGAGGAGTGTGGCTGGAGTTTCAGATACACTGTCACTTTAATGCCAGTCCTGTTACTTTCCATCCCCAGTGCAAGGGCCCAGATAAATCTCAGGGACACTTGACTTTATTAAACTGGCTCCTTTTCCAGGGTGCAGGCTGTTTCTATTCCTGGAGGATGATGTTGCTCGACCCCCTGCCTATCTCAGGCACCTCAGTGTGCTTCATAAACTGGTTACTGGGCCTTGCAGGACTTCTGGGTTGTTTTATGCGATGTTCCTCGCACTTCCTCCAGACTCTGGGGTGATCATTTTCTCAATGACCTGTTAAAGCCTGGACAAAGTGACAGTGTCTGTTCAGGGAACTTCCTTATGGAGACTGGGGCCATCTGCGGGAGGAGATTAGCAGGGCCTTGTGTTGTGGCCTGTAGCAAAACCAGGCCAAGTGGGGAAACTAGTTGGAATGTCTGGAACCTGAATAGGGAACTACTGGACCAACACAAAAATCCTTTGTTGCCCTTTAAGGACGCCTCTAGCAACTGAGTCAGCCAAGAGTCCTGGTTTCAGTGCTGACTCCTCACTTATTGCTCTGTCTTGTGTCTGGGTTCCCAGGTCACCATTGAGGTAGTGGATGATCCTCAGGCTGAGATGGAGATGGACTTGCTGAAAGAAACCAGCAATGACTGGTCCTTGACCTCCTCTGAATGGCTGTCCCACAAGGACCTCTTCTGGCCCCTCTTCTGGGAGTACACGGATCCCACTGAGGAAGAGGAGGAGGAAGAGGATGACAGCATGGGCTCTGAGGACAGGGGGGAAGAGGAAGAAGATTATACAGCAGAGTACGAGGAGGAGGAGACAGTGCTGAGTGGAGTGGGAGGCAACTGGGACCAGAGGTGGCCAAGTCAGAAGAACTGGATCTTCAAGGAAAAATATAATTATGGTGAGTCATCCCCTGCCCCATAGCAGATACCCCCAAATTCTGCAGTGACCACCTCCCTACCCACTAGGGCCTGTCAGCTGCAGTGACCACCTCCCTACCCACTAGGGCCTGGATTAGTTTTAAAGGAACTGGGGGCATCCTCAGTGCAACGTGTTCTAATGCAGGAATGTCAGACTGGCAGCTTGATGAATTTGCCTAAATCACAGCTTTTGTGTTTTAAAAAAAGAACGAGCCCTGATAGTTGTGAAGGAGACTTTCCAAATATGCTCCAAGTGGAACAAAAACAGTGAAGTCTGCCTGAGTCTGCAGACAGCCTAGATAAATAACTCAGAATTCTCAGCTGTGCATCCAATTGCACTGTTAACTCTAACAGGTATGTACATTCAGATGATAAATAAGATACAGACTTTTAACTGTGCAGGTAATTAGCCGGTGGAACAACTTGTCTAGGGATACAACAGGTTCTCCAGCACTTGGAGGCTTTAAATCAGTGTTTCTTAAACTGTGTTCCGCAGCACACCGGTGTGCCACGAGGCAGTTGAAGGTGTGCTGCAGAGAACAACAGAGTTCAAAATGGCCACCCTTAAAGGGGCAGGGGACCTTTTTTTTTTTTTTCCTCAATAACTTTCCTCCTGACCACCCCCCCACCCCTTTTTTTTTTTTTGCTCAACAAAAAATCCTTGGTGTTCCTCATTAAAAAAAAATAGTTTGGTGTTCCTCCGTCTTAAAAAGTTTAAGAAACACTGCTTTAAATGGAGAGAGGCTGACTTTGCAGAAGAGACACCTTAGAACCGCAGTTATGGGCTCCATGCAGAAAACAGTGGTTAGGTTCTCTGGCCTATCTTATGCAAGAGGTCAGACTATCTTATAATAATGGCCCCTTCTGGTCTTAAAGGCTGTGAATCTATGACTCTTCAGTGTCAGCATTATACAGCAGAGTACGAGGAGGAGGAGACATCTTACCTTCAGTGTCAGCATTAACTATCTTAGAGCTGATGACTCTGGCACAGGCGTAGGCAATAATTTTTTGCCGGGGGCTGCACAGGAAGGGGCGGAGCATCAAGTGGAAGGAGAAGGGCCAAGATATTTCTGGCTTCCCCGCTCCCCGACAGTGATTGGTCTGCGGGTGAAGGAATGCCTTTGCCCCCACCCCACATTCCCCCAAAGTGCCCATGTCCCTGGTGTAGGAGGAGACTTCCCTCACTCCCCTGCCCCTAGGTCAATTAGGGCCTGGGGGCGGGGGAGCGTGTGAAGCCTCCTCCGCTCTTTCCTGCCCCCTGCGAGCAGCGTGCAGCACTTCATAGCATCAAGTGCTCCTGGCAGGGCTGGAGGAGGCTTTGTGCGTTTCCCCGCCCCCAGCTCTTAATTGGCCTGTGGGCAGGGGAGCAGCAGGGCCTCCGCGGGCTGGATCCAGGGGCTTGGCAGGCCGGATCCAGCCCACAGAGGCCCTCTTGCCCACCCCTGCTCTGGCAGATAGAATGGGGCAGGAGTGGGAATGAAGCAAGCAAGACTGAATATGGCATTAAGGTAGTGAGCAAATAATAAATCACTAAAAGTTGAGTTGCTGCAGCAAGGCTGTATTCTAACCTTGATCCTGTGTAAACAAATGTCCATAGTCATCAGAGGAAGGTAGTGGTTGAATGGGGACTCTGCAGTCCTAATGGAACAGCCCGCCCATGGGCCATCACTAAGCATGGAATTGATCCCTCTCCACCAAATGAGTTTGAGACCCGGTCTAGTGGTTAGCACAAGGAGACGGGTGTCATGACTCCAGGGTTCTGTTCTCAGCACTGACAGTGAATGGGTTAAGGCAGGCAATAGGCTTTGGTTCTATTCCTGGCTCCAGAAAGGAAAATGGTCTAGTGGCTGAGACTAGGGATCAGTCAACATCCCTGGTTCTAGTCCCAGGAAGCACAACCTCAAAAGTGTGCCAGTGAGGGCCCACAATGCCCGTCTAGGTTTGTCAGGAGCGGCATGTAAACTTAGTGCAGGTAGAAAAGTAGCAGAAGGGAGCACTTCAGGGAAGGTTCAGGGTTACTTGGGTTGCGTCTACACTGTACCCGTAGTTTGAAATAAGCTATGCAGTTTGAGCTACACAAATTGTGTATTTTATTTTTAGTGTATTTCGAAATAAACCACTATTCCGAAATGTCCCTTAATCCTCGTGGAATGAGGCTTACAGGGACATCAGCACCTGTATTTCGAAATAACAGGCTTGTTTAAAAGACGCGGAATAGCTATTTTGGGATACTGGAAGTATTCCGAAATAGCGCCGCAATGTAGACGTACCCTTGGTGTTTTTACTTCTCCCCACTCTCCATGTCACAGTGTTCGCAGTCCTCTCCAGAACTTACCAGGGTGGTTCCCAGAGCTGGCCAGAGTGGGGCACTATGAGCCTGTCCAGGACTTATGGAAATGCTATCAGCAGTTCCTTAGGGTATGTCTACACTACAGCGCTTACCGTATGCAGGGTCTTTCATCCACTCACACTGGGCCATTGGGAAAGACCGTATGCAGGGGCTTTCATCCACTCACACTGGGCCATTGGGAAAGATCATTGAATGGGTATTGTTTCTAGTGCTTCTACAGGGATTGGTTTTATGCACAGTGCTGTTCAGCATTTTCCTCAGTGCTCTGGAATCACACATAAAATCACTGCTGATGTACTTTATGGGTGACACAGATTGGGGAGAGGTAGGGTTAAATAATGAGCAGTCATACAGTGCAATCAGGATCACTCAGTAGTCTGGGCCCATTCAAACAAAATGCCTTTTAATACAGCCAAATGCAAAGTCACACATCTAGGATCAAGGCATGCAGGGCATACCTACAGAATGGGGGACTGTACCCTGGAAAGGAATGACTCTGCAGTGGATTTGTGGGTCGTGGTGGGCAAGGACCTCCAAGCGAGCTCCCAGTTCGACGCTATGGCGAGAAGGACTAGTGTGATTCATGATTGTATAAAGAGAGCAGAGATGTATAGGAGTAGGGAAATGATGTGCACAGCATAGGTGAGACCAGGACTGGAACACTGCATCCAGTTCTCGAGTGCAGATTTTTAAAAAAGAAGTTGATAAATTGGAGAGGGTGAAGAAAAGGCCCAACAGTGAGTGATTAATCTGGTTAGCTCATCAAAAGGAAGATTGCAGTAACTTGATCATAGGGTAGAAGTCTCTTCACAGGGAGGAAATACCAGGTCCTAAAGAGCTCTTCAGTATAGCCCAGAAAGATATCACATAATCCAAAGGTTGGAAGTAGAAACCAAATAAATTCCATGTAGAAACAAGGCACTTTTTAAAAAATCAGTTAAGTAAACTACTTAAATCATGAGTGGTTATCCATGGAATACACTACTCAGGGACATGATGCAATTCCCATTTCTTGGTATCTTCAGATGAAGACTGTATGTCTCTCTGGAAGATATGCTTTGGCCAAGCACAAGTTACTGGGTCATCGGAGGGCTAACTGGGTGAAGTTCTGTGGCTGCAGATATTTAAGAGATTAAACTACATGACTTCAGTTTTGATGAATGCACCCAAGTGCTTTTCTGAGCTCTAGCCTCCTCCCCCTCTCCCTCTCCCCGCTCTCGTGGAGATCAGCTCAGGAGGTTGATGTAGGCAGAGGGAAGCCTTCAGAGAAGTCCAGAGCCGTTCCATGCTTCATTCCCATCTGGGATTTGCACAATGACTTTCATGCTTTGTCCTTCTCTTGCTGCCCCCAGACTATGAAGATGAAGAGGAGTGGAGCTCTTGGTCCCCCTGCAGTGTGACCTGTGGTAGCGGCAACCAGAAGAGAACCCGGTCCTGTGGCTATGCTTGCACAGCCACTGAGTCAAGAACCTGCGACCTGCATCACTGCCCTGGTGAGCCCTCTCCCCACCTATTGCACTCCTCATCTCTAGGCAAAGTCATTTATCTGCCTCCCCAACAATATAGGGAGCCCTTTCTCAAACTCATCTGGGGCCCTGCCCACAGCAAGATTTTTTTTTTTGCTGGGGGAAAATTTTTTTGGTGGGAAAATTGATGAATTTTCCATCCCCACAGGGCATGGAGAACTTTATGCCTTTCTAACATGATGAAGGAATCCAGGCGAGACTCACTCCAGAAAAGAAACTCAAGCCAAATCCCTTTGTGGTCCTTGACCTGCCTCCTAAACCCTTAAAACACTCAGCTTCTCTACCCACTCTTTGGATACTGGCTAGTGCTTGAAGGATTAAGGGGTTTCCGATTTTTTGATTGGGTCAGTAAAAGAAGAGAGACGATGGGGCTTGTCACAGCCATGAGTAGTCCACGGATCATAGATCTGCCGACAAACTTAAAGTGAACTTCAAACTTCCCTTCATATGAAGCCTGAAATTCTCAGAGGAAGCAATGACCTATCACAACCAGCAATCTTATATTCCCTTAGGATTATCCTCCTTGCAGTACCATCCTGTCAGCCTTCTGTGCATAGGAGTAGGCCACCTTGAAGGTGGGGAGAGGGTAGAAGGAAATACAAGGGTCTGATGCCCAACCCCAGCCAGGACCACTGGCCCATATGTGGAAAGGGATTCATTACTTCTGTGAGGTTCATCTTGACTGTTTGTTTATGCATTTTATCTCCAAAGGAGCAGATGGAGAAATGGTCTTCACCACTGACGAGACACCGTTTGAGGGTGAGAACAACACGGAGATGTTCAACTCAGGTCAGCATATTTCTCCTCCATACAATAAGGCCTTAGGAGTTTCAAAGGGATTTCATGGTGTAGCTCCCCATGGGGGAGATGTAGCTACCTGGAGGAGAGTGTTCTGCCAGTGAGTCCAGGTGCTGGTGAGCTTCAGTGAGATATCCAGATAGCCATAAAGTGTCATTCAGCCCTCTACAAGTAGGGGCCCTGGCATTAGCATGTGCTAGGCATCCTGTTCTGACTTGTTGTTGGCATGGGCTAGGCATTTTATTCAAGGGTGGGTTTATAATTGGAAGGGTTAGAAATGCCACAGTGGAGTCCCATCCTGAAGCAGGGCAGAGATTTGGTGCCCCACATACCTGGGTGCCTTCACAGACATAAGAGTGTGACCGTGCCGACGGGCCACTACGTCCTTGTCATCGGCTGGGGAGGGCGGGAGGGAGTCCGCCGATCTTTCGCCTCCCGTCGGGGTGCCCCCTGTGGGTTCCCCCAGTGCGCCTAGCATGCTTTCGGTCACCCCGGGGGCCCCTCTAGCCTACCAATCGCTTAGGGCCTGATGGAACCCGACCCAGTCTCGTCTCAGCAAGGCCGGGTATACCAACCCAGGGGCTATAACCACGTAACACCAATTCTGTTGGTCTCCATCTGTAATTTGTACCCAGGTGGTCACGTATTGGTGTACGTCCCCATGGACATGGACAGGCGGGCCCCGGGGTCCCCCCGTGGTGATTAAATCCTCCCGTATAAAGGTCTGGCTACAACCTGAGTCAAGTAGGGCAAGGACCAGCTTGCCTTCGATCATCACGGGCCGCAAGATCTTACCTTCTTCTTCCTTCAGGTTGGCCCCGTCCCTGGCTAAGGCCTGCACGTATGAACAGTCCATATAGGGGAAGTCCTTAACAAAATGCCCCTCCTGTCCGCACCAAAAGCATGCCCCTCTTAGTGGAACGGATTTTCCGACGCTGCGTGCGGACTCGGTCGCGCGGTCCAGCAGGTCTCGGCGTGTTTCCTGGGCTGGGGTGGACCAGGCGGGAGCCAGTTGCCTACGCTCCCCGATTCCCCCCAGCGTTCTCTTGATGTCCTTCTCTGGGCTTCCTTTAACCCGGAGTCCCCTTCCCGGGTCCAGCGGTACGGGTGGGAGTGACTTTCTCCCTCGGTTCAAGCCGTCGCCCCCCTCGGCGGCCTCGTAATCATTCATTAGCTCTACTGCCTCGCTCAGGGTAAAGGGGTGGAGTCAGCGCACCCAGCACTGTCAGCCTCCGGGTGAGATGCTTGTGAACTGCTCCAATACAATCTGCTCTGCTACCTGCAGTTCAGTGTGTTGTTCTAGGTCCAACCACCGCCAGGCCACCTCTTTCAGTCTCTGCGCGATCACCCGGGGACGCGTCCCGACGCTGTACTGCTTACCTCTGAACTTTTGTCTGTAGGTCTCGGGCGTAATACCCAGCTGGTCCAAAATGGCCTCCTTGAGTTTATAATAATGTAGGGTGCCCCAGTCACTTAGGCTCTGGTACACAAGTTGGGCAGCCCCTATTAAATACAGGGCCAGCAGCGTGGCCCAATGTTGTCAGATAGGCCTCGGGGTTGTCTGCCGCCCCCATCTTGGTCAGTCTGACGGTCAGTCGAGGCAGACCCCCGTCTTCCTCACTCACCTCCTCACCCTGTCCGGCGGGGCCTAGAGCTGATAGTGGTGCGGCTGGGGTCTGCCATTTCCATTGCTCCTGCCACTTCTTTCACCAGCTGTCTCTGTTGTTCTTGGTGTTGCGACAACAGTTGTTGAATCAGCAGGGTCTGCTGCTGTTGGCTCTATCTCTGGGTTTCTTTCACCCACTCCATGAATTGAGCTGGATCCATCTCCCAGCTCTGCTCCTGGAGGAAGCCCCGTAAGTGACACGCCTCCCTTTTGGTCCTCTAATGACAAAAATATAAATTGTGACCCCCTACTCTGGGTGCTCCCCCTTTCGTTCAGGGTTGGGACACTCAAGGTGCCCACATTCTCCACCACCTTGTGACCGTGCCAGCTGGCCACTACATCATTGTCATTAGCTGGGGGAGGGTGGGGTCTCTAGCGCTATCCTGCTCACAGTGCCACACTCCCCGCCGCAAAGGGGGAGGGGGAAGAGGGGCCCGGGCCCACCCTTGCTCATGTGCCCCAGCTCAGGGCCCTAAGGGCTCGGATCCTGGGAGATCCGGTCCGGCTGGCGGGGTGCTCCGCCAAAACTCACCAGCCCGCTAACCACTCAGGGTTCCGCCCTGGATTACTTCCTTTCCCCTCCGGAACCACCCCTACTCCAGCGTTTACCTTCTCTTTGGTGGACAGGGGCTCCCCCCGCCCTCCATAACCACGCTCCGCGTTGTCAGTTAATCCTGCTCACAGTGCCACACTCCCCGCCGCAAAGGGGGAGGGGGAAGAGGGGCCCGGGCCCACCCTTGCTCATGTGCCCCAGCTCAGGGCCCTAAGGGCTCGGATCCTGGGAGATCCGGTCCGGCTGGCGGGGTGCTCCGCCAAAACTCACCAGCCCGCTAACCACTCAGGGTTCCGCCCTGGATTACTTCCTTTCCCCTCCGGAACCACCCCTACTCCAGCGTTTACCTTCTCTTTGGTGGACAGGGTGGCGGGTGGGCGATTCACGATACGCTCCCCCTGTACCCCCTTTTCTTGGCTCTAGGCCTGCCTGTCTGCCTTCTCCCAGTCCACGTCCTCTTCCTCTCCTCCCCCCCTGCTCTGCCGGGCGATGGCGCTTTTGAACGTCGCGCCCTCCCTGCTCCACCTGTCACGGGCAGGGGGGGAGGCGTTTCGCCCTTGCTCCCCTGCTCTATCCCTGCCGCTGCGGTTGGCTCCCCCTGTACCCCCTTTTCTTGGCTCTAGGCCTGCCTGTCTGCCTTCTCCCAGTCCACGTCCTCTTCCTCTCCTCCCCCCCTGCTCTGCCGGGCGATGGCGCTTTTGAACGTCGCGCCCTCCCTGCTCCACCTGTCACGGGCAGGGGGGGAGGCGTTTCGCCCTTGCTCCCCTGCTCTATCCCTGCCGCTGCGGTTGCCATGGCGCCCGTCGCCCAGGACGCCACGCCGCCTCCAGCCCACCCCTGATGTCACCTAGCATGATGTCAGGGCAGGGTGACGGCCGCGCAGCATGGGAGCAACCTGCACACAGCCGGGCTTCCCCGGCCCTCCGGCCAAACAGCGCCTGCCTGGCCATCGCCAAGGTGCAGGGCAAGGGCGCCCCATCACAAAGAGTCTATGGCCCTTGTCCATGCTACAGCTACAGTCATGTTAGGAAGCCCAGATACAGCACAGTGGTCTCACAGCCTGATTCCAGTCTGGTTCTGTTGTTCAGTATAGACAGAACCTAACCCATGTCCTGGGGCCGTGTTGAACGTCAAGCCACGTGAAGCTTTAACACAGATTGCAGACATCCGTAAGGTCCCTTTTGCCCTGGCTGTTGCACTATGGACCTGACCCATGACTGCATCATGTTCCAGTTGATGATTTCAGTCCGCTATGTCCCCACTTGATGTGCTCAGCTGCTCAGGTAGCCTCTGTCTAGCAATGGCTGGTGCTGGATGTTTAGAGATTGTGCAGAGCCCTCTTTAAGCACCTTCCTGTGCTACAGTATCCTATGGAGAGAGATTCTTTCCTGACCCTTATCTCTTGATTAACTGTTGCCCTCAAGCACAGGGGTAGTTGTCTTTGGCAATCTCTTCCCCTGGTATATTCTCCTCCATTCAGCACAGCAGGTGCAGTTTGGGGGGGCCTGGGGATTGCTAGCTTGGCTGTTTTGGTATAACTCCATTCCCAGACCCGTGGCTGGATCTCAGGGAGGGGCCCACTGGTGGGGAAGCTGCTCATACTCCCTCCCACTGGTTTCTCTCCTCTAGATGTGGACAGCTGTGAGAAGTGGCTGAATTGCAAGAGTGACTTCCTCACCAAGTACTTGAGCAAGGTGCTGACGGATTTGCCCAGCTGCCCCTGCTCCTACCCACTGGAGGCTGTGTACAGTGCTGTGAACCTGCTGGATGAGCGCCAGGGCAAGAACTTCCGCTGGCGAGATGCCAGTGGGCCCAAGGAGCGACTGGACATCTACAAGCCTACGGCCCACTTCTGCCTGCGCTCCATGCTCTCCTTGGACAGCACCACGCTGGCTGCCCAGCACTGCTGCTACGACGAGCACACGAAGCTCATCACCCGGGGCAAGGGGGCTGGTGCACCTAATCTCATCAGCACGGAGTTCTCCCCGGAGCTGCACTACAAGGTGGACATGCTGCCTTGGATTCTGTGCAAAGGGGACTGGAGCCGGTACCATGCCGTTCGGCCCCCCAACAACGGGCAGCAGTGCGCTGATAACCCCACTGAGGAGGAGTATCTCTCCCAGCTGCAGGAGGCCAAAGAGTACTAGCAGATTTTGGCCTAATGATGGGAGAGCAGGACGTGGCTGGTCCACCATGTAACACCCCTGCAGGCCACAGAGGCTCTGGAGTATCCCTGCTTGTCACTTCCTCCCTGGGGATCACAGCAGTGTGGGGGGGAGAGGCAGAGCCCTTGGCCCTACACACAGGCTCCCTGGCAGTGCCAAATGCAGGGATTAGGTTTAAATGTGTCTTTTCCAAGTGGCATCTCAGTTCCTTTCCAGTTTCCAAGGGGCACAGGTGATCCTTGCTGCCTGATTGGCCCCAAGGGTGCTGTTCTCTCTGGGTAGCACAGGATCCATGGTGAGATGGGGACAGCTAGAGGCAATGGAAGGAAGGCTCCCTCAGGGAAGGGGCGTATA